AGCAAGCCTCATGTTCGCTTCCAGCTGCCTGGCTGCCAGCCGCCATCTTGGCTGACAGTTAATTTGCATAAGGATATGCTGATTAGCCAATGGGAAGGGTAGCGGTTGTTTGCTAATTACCATGTTTCTCTTTTATTAGTGTAGATAGTATGACCTTAGTTTTATTAAAAGTAATAATTATATATGAATATATGTATGTTAGTTGCATGGAAGTGTCTGGATGAATGTATATTAAAATTGATAACTAGATTTTTATCAGGATAATTATAAGAGAAATTTTACTTTATATACATCATACAGTAGGACATTATAATTTTTCCAGTAGCCATGTACACTTTTCTAATTAGAAAAACTTTTTCTGAAACAGTTTTTTAAATGTTTTTAATTTTTAATTGTAAAATATACATAACATAAAATTTACCATCTTAATAACCATTTTTAAATGTGCAGTTCAGTAGTGTTAAATACATTCACATTGTTGTGCAACCAATCTCCAGAACTTTTTTCATTTGCAAAACTGAAACTTTGTACCCATTATACAACAGCTCACCATTTGCCTGTCCCCCAGTCTCTGCCAACCACTCTTCTCCTTTCTGTCTCTATGAATTTGACTACTCTAAGTATCACATATAAGTGAAATTATGCAGGTTTTGTGATGGCTTATTTTACCTAGTATTATGTCCTCAAAGTTAGTTTTTGTGGGAGTTTTTGTTGCTTAATAAGAAAAGCATATACTCTATGGGTAACTGGGCAAAACAATGAACAGACACTTCATAGTTGGGTAATACAAATACAAATAAATGTGAAAAATTATTTTAAAATACACATTTACAAAACTTTTTGGTTATCACTTTAACCATATTTTAAGAACTGTTAGTACTCAGTGGAACAATGAAACATTAAACACAATTTGATTCACTGCAATTAAGAATATAAATTGGTACAACCTAATGAGTAATTTGACTGTATATATTAAGAACTTATAATAACAGGCAGACTCTTTGGCCCATTAACTCTAATTCTTAGAAGCTAACTTAAAAAATAATCAGACATATGGGCAAAGGTTTATGTTTAAAGGTGTTTATTACAAAGTAATTTATGATGCAGTTGTTATTCTAGTTGGCAACAACATAATGTTTAAATAAATTAAAATACATTTCTACCCATGATTCTAAATGGGGTAGTAGAAGGGCTGTATCTTAATTTCTGGGAAGGGTGTATTCAGTTGTTAAAAGCATACTATAAAATTGCCATTAAAAGAAGGCATAAGATTTGTATGTATATTGATAAGAGAATGTGCTTTAAAATATTGGGAATTGCCAACTGAGATGATAGAGTATTATACATATTTTAAATTTTCAGTAATTTTAATGATCTAATAAAAGGCTCATGATTAGCAAAAAAGAGATAGAAACTTATGATTACAAAATAACCTGAAGTATGAAAGAGAAATGCATTTTTAAAAAGACTTGAATATGCCACATATTAACAGTGTTTGCCTCAGGATGGTAGAATATTTTGTTACCTCTTATCTTTTTCTATACTTTAATAATTCTCTAAGATAAGCATGTTTTACTTTTATATAATCAGCAGGAAATACAGTTTTAAAATATACATTTTAAAAGGTAGATTCCAAATGTAAATAGAGATATGTCATTCTTCTAAAGAGAATTCCATTTAAATTCCAGGGCTTTAGGATCAGATACAGGAGGATCAACCAGAAATCCAGCTGCCCACTGTGGAGTTGTTGGTTTAAAACCAAGCTATGGCTTAGTTTCCCGTCACGGTCTCATTCCCCTGGTGAATTCAATGGATGTGCCAGGAATCTTAACCAGATGCGTGGATGATGCAGCAACTGTGTTGGGTATTTATATGATTCCATGTAGTTTGAAAATGTTACAATTTCACTGTAAAACAATGATGTCTATCACTTCCAAGTATTTTTCTTTACAGGTGTACTGGCTGGGCATGACTGCAAAGATTCGACCACAGTACAAGATCCTGTTAAATCGTTTATACTTCCCAGTTTGACAGATGTAAGCAAACTATGTATAGGAATTCCCAAGGTAATTCTTCCCTTTCATTACTTTACAGAAGTACTGTCATGTCACATACAGAGCACAGATTTGGGAAACAGATTGGTTAGGTTTGAATCCTTGCTCTTCCTTTTATTAGCTACTAGAGGCCTGATGCACGAAAATTCGTGCAAGAGTAGGCCTTCCTTCCCCTGGCTGCCAGCACTGGCTTCCCTCTGGCACCTGGGACCCGGGCTTCCCTCCTCTGGTCACCAGCAGGCATCCGGGACCCAGGCTGCTTCCCTCCTCCAGCCACCCACAGGCACCCAGGACACCAGTTTGCTTCCCTCCTCTGGCCACCTGCACGCATCTGGGACCTGGGCTGGCTTCCCTCAGGCTACCCGCAGGCACCCGGGACCCGGGACCCGGGACCCGGGCTGGCTTCCCTCCAGCCCTGGCTTCGTCAGGAAGGACGTCCGGAATGATGTCCGGAAAACATCTGGTCCAATTAGCATATTACCCTTTTATTATTATAGATGTGTAACCTGAGCACACATGGTTTAATCTCTCTAAGCTCAATTTCCCTATCTGTAAAATGGGGATAATAACAGTATTGATTTCAGAGAATGGTGAAGTTTGAATTAGATAATCATCATAGGGATATAATACAGAGCATGGCGACTATAATAATAAAAGCATAATATTCTAATTAGACCAGATGAAGCTGGGGCTGTGAGGGAAGCCTGGGTCCCGGGTGCCAGAGGGAAGCTGGTACCGGCAGCCGGGAGAAAGAAGGCCTACTCTTGCACGAATTTCGTGCATCGGGCCTCTAGTAGTTAATAATACTATATAGCATATTTGAAAGTTGCTAAGAGAGTAGATCTTTAAAGTTCTAATCACAAGCAAAAAAAAACTATGTATGGTGACAGATGTTAACTAGACCTATTGTGGTGATCATTTCTTAATACATTTCTTAAATATCAAATCATGATGTACACCTGAAACTAATGTAATATTATGTTGTAAACTATTAAACCTAAATAAAAAGAATTAGATAATCATGTTAACACATTGCGTACCAATGGCCAGTTAAGTTTCTATTGAACGAGTACAAAAAAGTTTTATATAATGTTAAAGGCACGCTTTAAAATTAAATACCCATTGCATTTTGAAGTTATTTATTACATGTTCTTACAAGCTAATATCTTTTTAAACTATGATACTTTGTAGAACACTGTGTAATATGAAGCAAGAATTCTCGTGATCCGTCTGCAATGTGTTAAGCAAGGGTCTGTAAGATTTTTCTATAAAGTATCAATTAGTAAATATTTTAGGCTTTGTGGGCCATGCAGTTTGTCATAACTACTTAACTCTGCCACTATAGTAGTGTGAAAGCAGCCATAGACTGTATGTAAACAAAGGAGTGTGGCTGTGTTCTAATAAAACTTTATTTTCCAAAATAGCTATCAAGTCACATCTGACTGATGGGCCTAATTTATTAATCACTGATGTAAAGTGCATAGCCCAAGATATACTTTGCATAGTAAAGGATCAATAAATGTCACTGACATTACTATTAGTATTACTACTATATTTATTATGGTAGCAATTAAGTAATCCATACATGAAAGTAAATATATTGAATTACTGACCTTTAAGCTTAGCAGTAATTTTTTTTTAATCCTCACCCAAGGATATGTTTATTGATTTTAGAGAGAAAGGAAGGGAGGTAGCGAGAAAGAAAAAGAAACATCAATGTGAGAGAGACATTAATCAGTTGCCTCCCATACATGCCCCAGCCCAGGATCTAACCCACAACCTAGGTATGTGCCTGGACTGGGATCAAACTCCCAACCTTTTTGGTGTACAGGATGACATTCCAACTAACTGAGCCACCCAGCCAGGGCAACAGTAATTTTTTTGATATTTTTTTGTTGTGGGAGACTGTCCTATGCATTGTAAGATGTTTAGCAGCATCACTGCCTCTACTCTTAGAGGTAGCACCCCACCATACCACAATCCCACAACCAAAAATGTTGCAGATACTACCAATGTCCCTGCTTGACAGGAAGAGGATAAACTTGCCCCCAGTTGAGACCACTGCTGTAGGGAAACTGTACTTTCTTTAAAATCTTCAATTAAGGTCATAGCTGTGCCTTCTTTTAAGGGTCTAGAGAAAGCACAGGTTGTAGAAACAGACATAGTTTAGAATCCTAGATCCTCTACTTACCTGCTATGTAATATTAGTAAAGTTACTTAACTTCTCTAGTCTCTATATTTTTTATTAATAAATTGAAAAATAATACCTACATCATGGGATTATTAAAAGCATTAAAGTTGAAAAGCTTTGAAAAGCATCTAGCAGGGTACCTGATATATAATAAACATTTAACAATTATAAGATCTCCAACCAAATCGCCAATCTTGACTATTGTTAAAGAGCTCACTCATATCTAGTACTGTGCTTGTCATGCCATGAACACTCTTAAATTAGTTCAATCTTTCTGGCTACCTACTAGCAATTTAATCAAATTTTCTAATGTATTGTCAAAGGTCCTGGAGTATAAATTTTTATAAATCATCAATACAGAGGTTCTAATTCTGTTGTTTAACTTTTTCCAATAAGGAATATCTTGTACCAGAATTATCGAGTGAAGTACAATCTCTTTGGTCCAAAGCTGCTAAGCTGTTTGAGTCTGAGGGGGCCAAAGTAATTGAAGTGTCCCTGCCCCACACCAGTTATTCAATTGTCTGCTACCATGTATTGTGTACATCAGAAGTGGCATCGAATATGGCAAGATTTGATGGGCTAGAGTATGGTAAGACGGTTGTGTTAAGGTAGTTGTCTCAACATTTGAAAGGTTCACTTTTTAGTGACAATATATGTATATTGCCCAAGATAGTGTTGATGATTTAGAAAAGTAAATCAGTGAATCTTTTAGCATTATACTTACACTATTTATCATTAATATCTCTGTGTGTTCAATTCACTTTTCTGGACTGAATACCTTGAAGAGATAGTATCTTATCTTTGTATTTTCAGTTCATCTAATGTAGTGCTTAGCACATGGTAGATGCTCAGTAAACATTTCAATGAACGAACAAATGAGGAAGTGAACAAATAGTGTCTTCCTCTTGGTTATTTTCTTTTGTCTCCTTGAATGCTGACTGGCCACTCACTCACAAGGCAGATAAAGAAGGGAAACCAGGAAGGGCAATCCACAATTTTTGTATTGGTCACAAATGTAAATTTAGGTCTGTTTTTCAACCAAAACTTCCTTCTTAAGTAATGTTTATCTCTTTTTGGTTTTCAGGTCACAGATGTGACATTAATGTGTCTACTGAAGCCATGTATGCTGCAACCAGACGAGAAGGCTTTAATGATGTGGTGAGAGGAAGAATTCTCTCAGGAAACTTTTTCTTATTAAAAGAGTAAGATCATTAGTTTAGGAATTTTCCTCATTCTTAAAAACTCAACAGTAAAGTAGTAGCAGATCTTATAAGTTGAAATATTTGCTAAAGAAGCAAAATCTTTATGATTTTAATTAGAAATCAATTAAAGGCTTATTTATGATACTTTAGGTTTCTATTCAAAAACAAACAAAAATGGGAAGTTTTAGTTAAATGATTAGTAAAAACTAAGTAGGAAGCCCTGAGGGATTTTGGCCTCATTAATTGTCCCCTGACTATTATTGCCACATTGGCTTATGGCTGTGAGAGCCTTAAGTAGTTACTTTGGTGTCCCTTGAGAAAAATTTAGTAAATCAACTTAGTTTTCCCTTCCACTATGCACCTGTTTGCTCCAAGAAAGAATTCCAAATTACTATGACTCCTACCTAGATAGTCTTCAATATAAGTTTATTGACCATCTTGTGAAGGCATTATTCTAAATGAAATAAGAAAAAGATAAATACGATATCATCTCACTGACATGTGGAGTCTTTTAAATAAATAAATAAATAAATAAATAAATAAATAAAAAATTTAAATTAAATAAATAAGTAAATAAATAAATAAATAAATAAATAAAAAAGAAAGAAAAAGCCAAACTCATAGAAACAGAGAATTGTGGTTGCCAGGGGTTGGGGCTGGGGGGGAATGGAGAGATGTTGGCCAAAGGGTACAGACTTCCAGTGATCAGATGAATAAGTTCTGGGGATCTAAAGTCCATCATATTTACCGTAGTTAACAGTACTGTATTATATACTTGAAAGTTGCTAAGGGAGCAGATCTTAAATGTTCTCACCACACTCAAGCGATCCCTTGAGCTCTGAGTGCTACTTATTCCTATCCAATACTCTGCTCTGGCAAATTGTGGCTGTCTGCCTCTCCAAACTTTCCATCTTCCTCTTTAACCCAGAGCCCCATTTCCCCACTCTTAAGCTCTTTTCAGGTTCCGCCTCTCTGGGCTCAGGCCTGAAAACTGCCTCCAGGCATTACTCTAGGGCAGCGGTTCTCAACCTGTGGGTTGCGACCCCTTTGGAGGTCGAATGATGCTTTCACAGGGGTCGCCTTAGACTATCAGAAAACACATATATAATTACATATTGTTTTTGTGATTAATCACTATGCTTTAATTATGTTCAATTTGTAACAATGAAATTGGGGGTCACCACAACATGAGGAACTGTATTAAAGGGTCACGGCATTAGGAAGGTTGAGAACCACTGCTCTAGGGAAATCAAAGAGCTTTTCACATACTTGCTTCTCCTCACTCAGAGCTCCCTCTTCTGAATGCCTGTTGTCTAAGGTCTGAAAATGGTAGTTTCCTTTTGTCTTGTTTTCTGGTTGTTTAATATAGCATCATTGATGGAAGCAGAAGTTCTGCTTTTGAACGTATTTAAAGGAGGAAGAAATTTCATAGAGAACAGAAATATTTGTTCTTTTATAAAATTCAGGTTTGAGAATGCTGTTAATACATTATTTAGGCCTCCATCTGTGATTGTTATGTAAGTTACAGGCGATGTTTGCATTCTTCTCTATAGACACTGTGGTCAAATGATAGCAAGGACATCTGACAGTTCTAGAGCATTCTTTTAGGGTAAAAGATTTTTATGTTTTTATCTCATTTTATTTGGTTTGCAGTAAGACTAGAGTTGTGATATCCATTTTTACAGGTGAGGAAACTGAAGTTAAGATAGTGAGTACTTTTGCCAGCCTTCATTAGTTTCAGGAGGATTTAAAGAGCCTTTTCTTTTCCCTTTCTTTGCATGATTGACTTATACTAACTCCTGTGTCTGGCTAATTCCTTAATCTTTTCAGTAAAGTAAGCATCTTTTCTTGAATTGCACATTTCCATTCTGGGCTGTGCCTATCTACAAAATACAAAATTGCAAGCATAGCATACTTTCCCCGGTTTCTGTTTGCAGAGCCTGTTTTCTAATGTCTAGTTCTGATGGCATGTTAGAATTTTGCAAAATTTCAGTGTCCTTCTGATAATTAGTTATTATACTATAGATGAATTAGACATTATAATAGAAAGAGGATTAAACTGAGCCTCCAGGAACCCAGTTCTAGACTTCCTCTACCACTGCCAATCTCTGCAACCTCTGCAAAGTTATTTAATAACTATACTTGATTTTCCTCACCTGAAAATGAATGTTCTGGTTTAACAGTTCCCTGGAAGTGTTAATGTTTTATGATTATACTAGAAGCCCGTTGCACGAAGATTCGCACAGTAGGCCTTCCTTCCCCTAGCTGCTGGCACCAGTTTTCCTCCGGCACCCAGGCCTTTGGTCCAGCCGCAGCGGAGAAGCCAAGCCTCTTCAGTTTTCAGTCTTCAGTCTTCACTCCGGCCGGAGCCTTCAGTCTTCGCTCTGTGCCTGCATATGCAAATTAACCACCATCTTTGTTGGGTTAATTTGCATAGTCACTCTGATTGGCTGGTGGGCGTAGCAGAGTGACACCAATTTGTATGTTTCTCTTTTATTAGTGTAGATATGCAGAATTGCATCTAGTAGTGAATTCTGATTGATTAAACTATAGACCTACCAAATTTTCTAGTGACATCACAGTTGAACAAAATTCATTTTTATGTGTTGTAGGAATCTAACTCATAAAGGCCAAGAATCCAGTGATTCTTTAACAAGCCTCATGTATGAGAATTGTTCAAAGAAATAACAAAAAGCCCTTAAAATATCACCAATTTTTTTTTCCACAGAAACTATGAGAATTACTTCATCAAAGCACAGAAAGTGAGACGACTCATTGCTAATGATTTTGTGAATGTTTTTAACTCTGGAGTGGATGTCTTGCTAACTCCCACCACCTTGAGTGAGGCAGTGCCGTATGTGGAGTTCATCAAAGAAGACAACAGAACGCGAAGTGCCCAGGGTGATATTTTTACACAGGCTGTAAATATGGCAGGTGAGGGTTCCTCAAGAATGTTTAGGTTTTCTTTACATTTTTAAATAGGCACCCTGGTCTTCACTTAGGTTCTAGCTAGATCGTTCCCTAAAGGCAATTGCTTGTCCTTCTGGAATGCTTAGAAAAGTGTGTGTGTGTGTGTGTGTGTGTGTGTGTGTGTGTGTGTGTGTGTGTGGTGCATGGGCATAGGTACATGCATACTCAGATTCAGCACACATACACTTTTTCAGAATCAGTTCACTTAGTAGCATATTTTTAAACTTTAAAAAATTTTTCAAACCTATGAAAAAGTTGAAAAGTCACATAATGAACACGGCTATGACCTTTGCCTGTATTCACCCTTGTTAACATTTTGCCTCGTTTGCTTTCTCCTTCCTCTTTCTCTCTTTCCCTATCTCTCTCTCTCCCTCTTTCTCCACACACACACACTTTTCTAAGTTTCAACATCATGACACTTCATTTTTATCATGAGTCTTCTAAGAATGAAGACATTCTCCTATATAACCACAGTTCCATTCTCTTACCTAAGAAAACTAACATAAACACTGTACAATAATTTGCCAAATGTAGTCCATTTTTAAGTGTTGCATTTTAAATTTAAATAATTAAATTTTCTAAATTAATAAAGTTGAATTATCAATTGTACCAAAAATGTCTTTTATAAGTTGTTTTTTCCTGATATATACATTCATTTATGGTGTCTTTTTTAAATCCCTCAGCTCTCTGTTTTTTAGAACCACATCAGACTGCATTATAATTCTTATAGCAATGATCAAACATAGCATAGAACACTCAAGAGGAGATGGAAATTCTACTGTTCTTACCTGTACTTTTGGTTATTGTGTTTATTTCTCCCTGATCTGTCAAGATTTTTTGTTTTATCACATCCTTTCTGTTTAGAGAAATTCCGTTAGCCATTTTTTTAGGGTAGGTCTGATGGCAACTAATTCTCTTCGCTTTCTTCCTTTTCATTTTTAAAAATTATTTTTGCTATGTATAGGATTCTGTTTTGACAGTTCTTTTCTTTAGCACTTAAAAAAAAATGTGCTGCTTTCTTCTGGCCTGCTTACTTCTGATAAGAAATCCCCTACCTTTTAACATTTTTCTTTTAAGTGACATTGACTTTTGAAAAATCTAGTTCACTTGCCCTGTAGGATGTCCCCTCCATAATCTGAATTGTCAGATTGTTTCCTTGAGATTGAGTTGAGTTCAACATTTTTGACAGAAATACTACATATTCTTGATGTCAGGAAACAATTAACATTAGTTTGCTTTGCTTTTGGAAACTAAGTTGAACCCTTAGTTAAGGAAGTAACTGCAGATGTTTTCCTTGTAGAGTTACATTTTTCCTTTTATCAGTTGTAAGCATTTGGTGAAGTGATACTTTGAGACCATGTGAATATCCTAGTTCCCAATAAACTTGAAGTCAGTTTTAGCATCCATTGATGCTGACTGCCTGAGTTAATACCTAGAGAATTACAAAATGCTGACCTTTGTAATTATAGCATTCCATCTCTGTATATTAGCAGTCTTCTCTAAAGAGCAGCTTTCTTTTTTGGTTTTAATTCAATGTAGTATAAGCAATTACTATCATTATTGTTTTTGCTGCTCATATTGCCCCAGATTTAGTCAACAGGAGCCCCTTCAAATTGCATATATCCTTTAGACCTGTCCCCAGTAATTTTTGAAAACTTCCTTATTTTATGACATAACAAGATGTCCCAAGATTTTATACTTTCTCTGCTCAAACATGGAATTAAAACTACCCTGAGCTACTATTTCTCATCTAACAAATTGGAAAAATTTACAAGTTCAAAAATTTAGTCTATTGGCAAGGCTGCAGGAAAAAATCCTTCATCTTGCTAATGGGAGTTCAGAATGGTACAGCTTTTTTGGAGGGGAATTTGGCATTATCTAATTACATATTTATTAAAGGATAAATATGGTGAAGCAATCATCTTTGTTGAGAAACTTTCAAGAATATCAGAAAACATGTACACAGTAATTCACTAGGCTATAGCGTGAAATAGCTAAGCACAGAAAACAACCTACATGCCAAACCATAGAAGAATGGCTGAATAAATTATGGTAAACCCACATAATGGAATAGATGCAGCTATAAAAAGGAATGAAGAAGTTCCAATAACAGTGATTTTCAACATTTATCATTAAGTGAACAAAGGAAGGTACAAAAGCATGTATATCATATACTTTTTGTTGTTTTTTAAGCCTTATCGTGGACCTACTAGCACTGGAAAGTGGAAGGGGTCTCTGCTTCTTAGAATGGAGAATTAATCAACCAATGGGTTTCTTTCTTTTACTCAGGGTTGCCAGCAGTGAGTGTCCCTATGGCCCTCTCCAACCAAGGGTTGCCAATAGGACTGCAGTTTATTGGACGTGCATTTTGTGACCAGCAGCTTCTTACAGTTGCCAAATGGTTTGAAAAACAAGTACAGTTTCCTGTTATTCAACTTCAAGAAATAATGGGTGATTGTTCATCAGTCTTTGAAAATGACTTAGCTTCTGTTTCTCTAAAACAGTAGTGACAAGTATATCATGCAAACTAAAATGACTTAAAGATTTTATATTCTAGAAAAGTCAAATGATCTTGGTAAGCTCTGGCACTTTGGTTCATTGTCAACATACTCATTCCTTGGAACCATTGTCTAAAATTCTTGTAATATAGTTAATTATATGTAATCTGCCAGCATTTATTAAGCATCTGCTAAATGCAGAGTACAGGATTTCTACTGTAACACAAGACACATGTTCGTGAAAAACGATGCATTTTGCAAAAATGTCCATTAAAAATAACAGCTTGTTTACTTTATTAGCTGTATTAATGTTGAATAACTATGTTGTACACCAAAACCAATATAATATTGTGTATTAACTATATTTTAATTAAAAAAAGAAAAACAGAGTTTACAGTAAAAATAACTATAATAATGAACATCTCAAAACATATGCATCTTTGTAACCAAAATATTAACAAAAACAATAATTGAGGCCTCCAGAGATCATCTGGACAACCAGGCAGACAGGCAACTCAACATGTGATGGAGGAGCTCTGATCACAGGAGGAAGTGCAACCTGCTGGGGCCCAGAGTCATGCAAGACTGGGAGTATGCTTCCCCCGTAGGCACCTGGGGCTTCTCTAAAAATAGACCTGCACCAAATGAGAACTTACTTTCATGCTAAAGGGTAAAATTTTACTTCTGCTGTTCCAGACCCCCATGCCAAGAAACCAGAACAACTCCATGTTACACTGAGCTCTTTCTCCTATTAACTGATCACAAATGAACTCATTGATGTCCCAGAAACATCAGTTGTAACCTAACAGACCATATTGGACTTAAAACTTTGGTAGGTTGTGAAACCTGGTTTTAGTGAGAAAGTTTCAATATACAGTAGTCTCCCCTTTTCTGGGGGGAATATGTTCCAAGACCCCCTATCTGTGCTTGAAACCTACATATACTATATTTCTTTTCCTATACATACATACCCATGATAACGTTTAATTTATAAATTAGGCACAATAACTGATAATAAAATAAAACAATTATAACAATCTATAATAATAAAAGCTTAATATATTAATTAGACTGGATGTCCTGGACGAAGCCGGGGCTGCGAGGGAAGCCTGGGTCCTGGGTGCCTGCCAGGGGCCGGAGGGAAGCTGGTGCCAGCAGCCAGGGAAAGGAAGGCCTACTCTTGCACGAATTTTGTGCATTGGCCTCGTCTATATATAAAAGGCTAAGTGTCCATCCTTCCCTCCAACCGGTAGCAATGATGCTCAATGACCCCCAGGGGGCAGACACTCAACGCAGGAGCTGCCATGACACACACTGGCCATTTAAAAATAAACAGCACCACAGACCTGGCCCTGACAAACCAACACTTGGCTTCCCCCAAGTGGGACACAGGCCCCGCCACCACCCCAGAGCGACACCCCACCAAATTGCAGCCAACGCTGCTAAGACCCCATGGCACAAAATGTGGCGCCCAGCCCAACCTGGAAATAGTCGCTGTGGATGCCGGGTAATGATGTCATGTAGCAACACCCAGCTTCCTCTCCCTAGCAACTAGCCTCCTTGCAGTTTCTTCAGCCCAGGAACCCAACTTGCTTTATAGCCAGGTGCAAACATTTTACAGTTCAACCAAATGTTTGTGAAACATTTTCCCATGCCTCATTTCATTTGATCCTCATAAAAGTCCTGAAGTAGGTAGATAGGAGACTGTAGAATCCTATTTTGTTTTCATTAGCAAGACAACGGAGATTTAGAAAGTTTAGAAACTTGATCCGACTGAAAAGAAGTAAGAAATGGTGGAACTTGAAAATGACTTCAGGTTTTCTCACTGTGTAGAATATAATCAAACTCTGCTATAGTTAAATATTTTACCCTTTTTTCTCCCTGTGTGGTCTACAATAATAATCTGCTTCGTGTTGATATTTACTGCTGTGTTGTTGACAACTGCCTGAAAGAGAAGTTGGGGTGCTTTACTGGGATGGAAAAAGTTTAGCTAAATCAGAAAGCAGATCTAATTAAGCAAGTTTATGTGGCGGGGGCTGAGGCAGAAGCGGTTAGGGGCGATCAGGCCGGCAGGGGAGAGCAGTTAGGGGCGATCAGGCCAGCAGGGGGGGGCAGTTAGGGGCAATAAGGCCAGCAGGGGAGGGCAGTTAGGAGGCGATCAGGCCAGCACAGGAGGGCAGTTAGGGGGCCAGGCTGGCAGCAGGCAGAGGCAGTTAGGGGTCAGCAGGCCAGCAGGGGAGCAATTAGGGGCATCAGGCCGGCAGGCAGAGGTGGTTAGGGGTAATCAGGCAGGCAGGCGAGCAGTTAGGAGCCAGCAGTCCTGGATTGTGAGAGGGATGTCCCAGATTCAAGAGGATGCACCCCCCCCCCCCCCCCGCCCTGAAATTCATGCACCGGACCTCTAGTATCCTATATAAGAAACTTGTAGATAATTTGGTGAGGTGGCCCAGGTCCTTCCTTACTCCAGATTCTCTATTCCTTATGATTTCCTTACCCTATTGACTATCTTTACAAGTTCTCTTTATGTGGGCACCTTAAGCCAAAAGAAACTTTTAATGGCTACCTGTATTCAAAATTTTTTTTAAAATCTGATGAAAATCATACCACTCTCTTTAAAGTTTCACTACTGACTTCTTTGTCAGAATATCATCACATGTGGATCAGGCATTCTCATTTGGCACTTACATATTGTTGATAAGTATAAGTAGGAAGCTGAATTATTATTTAATAAATTCACTTTAAAAAATATTTTCTAGCTCCCAACACGTGGCTCAGTTGGTTGGAGCATCATCCCGTACACAGAAAAAAAATAAAATAAAATAAAAGGTTTCGGGTTCAATCCCCAGTCAGGGCACATATGGGAGGCAACCGATCAATGTTTCTATCTCATATCACTGTTTCTCTGTCTCCCTCCCTCCTCTCCCTTACTCTCTCTCTTTCTCTTTCCCTTCCTGCCTCCCTCCCTCTTTCTTTAAAATCAAGAAACATATCCTTGGGTGAGGATTTAAAAAACCTGTTGTAAATATGAAGTACATGAGGGAAAAATATAAGAAGTGAAACCACTGGAATGTTGCATGATAGGAATTCAACCTGCCCGTTAGTTTTCAATAGTTTTCTCTCCTCACTGGGATCCTCCCACTCCCAAATAATCAGTAAACTTCATATAAAAACTTCCTGTGCAGGTCCTTATTAATTTTGACTGCATCCCTGAAAGAGGAAGAAATTCATGAGAGGGAATTATATCACTTTATAACAAGAGAAAACCACCTTATTTGAAGGAGCTAGTAAGATGTAAAAAGCAAGCGAATAAATAAATCTTTTCTCTAGTCTTTTTTTATGTGTGCATAATTTGAAATAAAAGTTTTTCTAAGAGTTTTTATGTAATTTCTCTTATTCCCAAAGCTCTCATTTCTACTTTAGCTGCACTAACAATTTGAATCTAAAAATAGGAGAGTGAAACATTGACCGTCCTCACGTGTAACAATACCCAACTAGCATGAAATGATACCTAATTTGTTCTTCTCCACCTTTCCCCTAACTCTAGCAGATCTCATTTTGCCAAATTGCCATCTGGGAATTAAAGTGAGAAACAGTTTCTGTATCTCGGCTAATTAAACTCTAAAACTGTTAGTGGCAGGGCTGCCAGAGCAGAGCACTTCTGAAAGGCGAAGGTGGACAGTGTGAGATGAGTTCTTTGATAAGGGGCAGCAAAACAAAGAGAAGGTTAGATTTGGCAGCAACAGCATGGCTAGAGTGAAAAACTGGGATGAACTCACAAAACTAGGCACCGTATCACCACCCGGAGCCAAGGGAGCAAATAGTGGGAAAACCAGTGTTCCGTGTTGGCCCACACTCAGCGTTACCAAGAAAACCACTTGAAACCAGGGAGGCAGAATATTGTCCTTGGCTAGTTGACATCAGCTCGTCGGAAACAAAGAGGACCTTGGGCCATCTAGGAAAGACAGCCTGGCACAGAAGAAGAGCTAAAATAACAAGGGTGATTCATGAGGAAATCACCTGTAGACAAATGCCTGTAGGGTTTTAGAACAAACAGTAAAAGATCTGGTTACAAGACACCAATAAGTAGACGTGGGGACTCTGTAAATTGTGTCATACCCTGGTCACTCAAAGAATATTCACAATAGCTTTTAGTATAAACTTTTCACTCTGTTTCAAACTCCCTTTCCTCAAACATCTCATTGTGTATACCAAGGCTAAATGTGTGTTGACTGTGCAAGCCTAGGATGAAGTTCACTCACTGTGTTTACAAGCACCAGAGGACAGTGGAAAATACAAGGCTTTCCTCAGTTATTTCATAACTTAAGCAGTGTGTACACATAAACCTGAAAATTTAATAACGGCAAGGGACACAAGAAAAATCCAGCCAACATTAAATAAAAGTAATAATTACAGGATTTCAGACGGGCTTTTTGATTTCTTTTTCTTTAGTATACCTCAATGGAAAATAAATCCAAAAGGATCTTAAGCAGTTTATTAAAAATATATTATTATAAGGGTATAAAAGTAAATAGTTGAAAAAACCAGTGAAGTGAGTAAAAAAAAAAACATGGAGAGGATAAAACCAGAATAAGATTAAAAATAAATGCTTGTTAAGGTCCTTATACAGATGCTTTAGGTTGCATAGTGTAATATAATGGGAAAATTCCCAGTAGCTTTCCTAGTGGGTAAGCTTTAAAAGCTTTTTTTTTTTTTACCAGATTTAAAAATCAAATAAACCTGGATTTGAATCCTAAGACTGCCATTTCTGGACCACGTATCCTGTCTGAGCTTCAGTATCCCGACCTATAAAATGGAGACACTATTTACTCCAAGGGATGGTTGGGATGATTAAATTTAAATGGTTCACTGATAGCACCTAGCATGATGCCTGACAGAATAAGAACTCAGTAATTTGTAGCTGTAAATAAATGTATACAATCATGAATTGAAGTCATTTTCTTATAGATTCATGGTAACTAATGGCATTTAGACAAATGGCAATTTATGGAAAACTTACGCTAGAGACCAGTTAAATAGCTCCCTGATGACCTGGCTTCCTCTGAGGCTAAAGTTTAACATACCTGAAAAAACTAATGGATTGCATTTTTTTTTCAATTTTATTTTTTCCATCACCATTTATCCCCTCTATGCATTCTTCTACCTCCACACTTTCCCCCACCCCACCCTCACAATCACCACACTGTTGTCCATTTCCTTGAGTTCTCTCTTTTTTGCTCAATCCCTTCACCCCTGGATTGCATATTTTTAAAGCAATTTCCATGATAAAGAACTGACTAACACAGGGTGGTCTTTAAAAGGCCCCTGTTAAAAAAAAAGCAAAACAAAAGGCCCCTGTACTCTGCCAACCAAATAAAGATGAAGCCTCCCAAAATAAGGCTACATGTTCCTGTGGTGGAAAAGGTCCTTATACAGATGCTTTAGGCTGTATAGTGTGATATAATGGGAAAATTCCCAGTAGCTTTCCTAGTGGGTAAGCTTTAAAAGCTTTTTTTTTTTTTTACCAGATTTAAAAATCAGATAAACCTGGATTTGAATCCTAAGACAAGTCTATCATACAACTTAATTCTACTTCAGCATATAAATACATAGATAATTTAGGCCCCAAATTATTACGTCTTAGCTGCAATTTTAACATGAGAAAATTTTAAGGTTGACGTTCCCGATGGCCAGCTAGTGTAGCCATGGTGAGCGGGGTGTGGGGAGGAGTTAATGAAATGCTCATGGGGCATCTATGATAAGCAATTTTACTCCTTGGTGAATCTTTCAAGATAAATTAGTTGCAAAATGGATAGGGGTGAATGCATCTAAATCATCCAAAACTGACTGCAAGTCATTAACAGGCAAGCTGAAAGGAACTGAGGCTAGAATTAGAGTTGTAAGACTTACAATAACCAAGTAAATTGTAAAATATATTCTATCAGGAACCATTCTACAGCGAGCATGTAAAAAGATATAGAGCATCAAATTATGGGGAAATTATTTTCTTAGCTAGACCAGTCTATTTCTCTATTGAAATGACCACTAGGATGCAGGTTATTGGTGGTGCTAAAGGGAAAAGAAGTAAGATATTATAAAGTGAAAATTAGGAGAATTTAGAGTTTTGTTGGATTAGAAGGCATAGGAGAAAGAAAGAAGAGAAATGTGATTTTTATCATGAGAAATGTTCACCACTAGAAGAATGATGTTACCCTTAACAAAAACAAGGAAAGCAAGAATGATTTATAGGGGCTGGAGATTAATTCCACAATCAAATTGAAATACCTAACAGGTAGCAGAAAAAGAGGCAAGTAGGTAAGATGGAGTTTGGAGGTCAGAAGAATAGGAAATGAAGTCTTCATATTGGGTTCCTTCTTCACCCATGGGTTTTTGTGTGTTTTTTTTGTTTTGTTTTGTTTTGTTCTTTTATTGTTGGCACTATCCCCCTTTCCCCTCACTTTGCCCATGTTTTGTTATGAAAATTTTTAAATATAAATCAGTGCACACCTGTATATCCAACCATCAATATTCTACCATTTACTATATTACATTCCTAACCCTCTATTATCTCTATTCATCCATTATTCCACTTGAATACTTAAGCATACTTATCACTAACTTGAGTTCAATATTTGTTTATGCATTTTAATGTAAAATATATACAATGAAATGCACAAATCTTAAGTGTACATTCCCTGAGTTTTGACAAATGCATACAGCTGTGTAACCAAACTCCTATTGACATATAGAACATTACTATAATTTCTGCCACCCCAGGAAATTTTCTCATGCCCTTTGCTAGTCAATCCCTGTTCCCACTCCTCCAGAGGCAGCTATTCTTCTGATTTTTCTCCCCAACACAATTTAGTTTTGCTTATTCCAGAATTTCGTATGAATACTAGAGGCCCAGTACATAAAATTGCATGAAATTCATGCATGGGGCGGAGGGAGGGGGGGTGTCCCTCAGCCCGGCCTGTGCCCTCTCACAATCCAGTACCCCTTGGGTAGGGTCCCTAGGCCTGGCCAGTGATCAGAACCTATTGGGGCTTTCCTTCCCCTGGCTGCCGGCAGCTGGACCTGCCCCCACCGCTGCCACTGCTTGCCATCTGTGAGGCCCTGCCCCCTCCCCTCACCACTGGTTGCCTCCCTCTGCAGGCAACAGGCATGGGGTGCGATTGCTTGGCTGGCCTGGGCCTCCCTCTGTGGGGTGATCCATCACGGGGGGCCCCCCCGCCTTGGCTGGGAACTGGGAGGAAAATGGGATAGGGAGTCACTGCTAATGGATGTGGGGTTTCTTTGTAGGATAATAAAAAAGTTCTGAAATCTAGTGGTGATGGTTGTTGCACAACTGTGTGCAGTATGACACAAATTTTACTTTTCATCTCTACAGACTTGTCTTTTCTGGACAGTTCATATAAATGGAATCATACAGTATGTGACTTTTTGTGTCTGGCTTCTTTCACTTAGCATGTTTTCAAGGTTCATCCCTATTGAAGAAGTATGTATCAATATCTCATTGCTTTTTATGGCTGAATAATATTATAATGTGTAGATATATCACATTTTGTCTATGTGATTAATCACTTGATAGATGTGCGTTGTTTCCATTTTTGGAATGAATAATGCTTTGAATATTCATGTACAAGTGTTTGTGTGAATGTATTTTTATTTTGCTTGAATATATACCTAGGTGTGAAATAGATGGTTCATGTGGAACCTCTGTGTTTAAATTTTTGAGGAACTGCCAAACGGTTTTCCAAAGTAGTTGAACCATTTTATATTCCTATGAGCAATATATGAGGATTCCAATTTCTCCATGTCCTTGCCAACACTCATTCTTGTCTATTTTTTTTATTATAGCCACCCTAGTGAGTCTGAAGTTGTATCTCATTGTGGTCTTGATTTGCATTTCTCTATTGACTAATAATATCTTTTCATGTACTTACTGGACAATTATATATACATTAGAGGTCCAGTGCACAAAATTCATGCACTCAGGGGGGTCCTTCAGCCTGGCCTGCACCCTCTTGCAGTCCAGGAGCCTCGGGGGATGTCCAACTGCCAGCTTAGGCCCAGGGAGCAGGCCTAACCTGTCAGTTGGACATTCTTAGTGCTGCCATGGAGGTGGGAGAGGCTCCTGCCACCATCACTGCACTCACCAGCCATGAGCCAGGCTTCTGGCTGAGTGGCTCTTCTTCTGTGGGAGCACACTGACCACCAGGGGGCAGCTTCTGTGTTGAGTGCCTGCCCCCTGGTGGTCAGTGCGTGTCATAACAACTGGTTGTTCTGCTATTTGGTCAATTTGCATATTAGCCTTTTCTTATATAGGATACAAGAGGCCTGGTGCATGGGTTCGTGCACCTGTGGGGTCCCTCAGCCTGTCTGGCAGTGATCGGGCTAAAACCAGCTCTCCGACATCCCCCAAGGGGTCCCGGATTGCGAGAGGGCAGTTCTCGGGTGACACACCCCGGAATTGGGCTCCTTTCTCCCTGGTTCCGGGTGTGTCACCCAAGAACTGCAGCTGCCAAGTCACTACAGCTCGGCAGCTCCTGTTGAGCGTCTGCCCCCTGGTGGTCAGTGCACGTCATAGCTACTGTTCAGATGGTTGGACAGTTGCTTAGACTTTTATATATATAGATATATTTTTGGAGAAATGTCTATAAAATCTTTTGCTCATTTTTAAATTGGGTTGACTTTTTATTGAGTTGAAGGGGTTTTAAAAGTATATTTTGAATACAAGTCCTTTATGAGGTAGATGATTTGCAAATGGTTTCTCCCATTCTATGAGTTGCCTTTTCACTTTCTGGATGGTTTTTTTAGTAACATTTTTATTTTGGTGAAGTGTAATTTAGCTATTTTTGCTTTTGTGACTTTTGCCTTTGGTGTCATATGTCAATGTATCTGTAATGTATTTTAGTAAATGGAATGAAGAAAAGATCTTTTTAAAAGAAAACTAATTAACTGTACCTGTCCACACCATTATTATAGTCAAACACTTATGTAAAGCTAGGTCTGATTTGGGCTCATTGTCAAAACTTTGTTAATTTTTCTTAAGGTGGTCCCCAAAGTAGCCTGAGTGTAGAATTCAAAAGAAATAATGATACCTACAATTTTGCATCTGCCCACCTTTGTTAACCAAGTATCTCGCACTCTAAGGCATTTATTAAATGCTGATTGAATTGGATTGGATTGGATTGGAAAGCAATTTTAGGGAGACGTGAACAATCACAGAATAGCCAATACTGTGATCCAGCACTGTTCATAATGTTTCCATTTCTGCTTGGGTCATCTCTGCTCTTGTCAAAACTGCTCTTTCAATACATTTTTAATACAATCGTAGTAATCATTAGTGTTGTTTGTCAAATATTTCCAGTTCTCTACCCTTTCAGACCCTCTTATGGTTAGGTACAATCCTGTGCCTAATTCCAGCCAATGCATTAGGAGTGGAATATCGTGTCTGGGCCAGAGTTTGCTGGGTAGACACTTTCCAGCTGGCTGCTCCATCAGCCTGGTCCCTAAGTGACTAAGGTTAACAGAACTCCTTTGTCAACTGATTGGATGAGTAGCATGAGCAGAAATAAAACTTTAAAAAACTTTTGTTGTTTTAAGCCATTGAAAATTTCAGTAGAAAGTTAATGAAGTATAACAGCCTATCCTCACCAATTTACCAGTCACTGTCCTCTTAATTCACTGGTTTGCTTTCTTGAATGGGAGATAAAGGGATGGTTTGAGGTAGAGCATGAAGAAATTGGGCCTGAAGTGACTTCACCTTTATATCTTCATTCACTCTTCTCATATGCATAACAACTACAATTACATTTTAGTGTAAGCCCACCATTTGTAAATAAAAGCTGAGTGTTCCAGAAGTACTCCAGTGTTCAAAAGTAAAAGCCCTGGAAAATGAGCAATTCCATAGAAAGTAAAAGAAACATATATGTAGCTACACTGAATAGGTAATAACTTACAGAGAAAAAATACCAGTTTTCAATACAAGGCAAAAGCTTCAACACAGCCCAGAAAGACTACTGTAAAGAAATGTGAAATTCATTCACCAAAATTGATACAAATTTACCATTTTCAATCTATTCCATGGCCTTCTTATGCTTCTATTTAGTGGGCATTTACAAAACTCTAGACATTCATGTTTGCCCATTCTCCGAACACACTGAACACCAAGGCCTCAGCAAAATGTAAATTGGCATGAACTATCAATTATTAATATGAAGAAAGTGCATCTATATGTGATTTGATAAATTGATCATTTGGCAAGGTGCTGTCTTGACCTAGAGCTTTTACAATACTGGAGCTTTTATAATCATAACCCAGATAAAATAAAGAGAGAGGAGTAGCATTATGTATCCAAGAGTTTCAATACAGATTATTTATTTCTGCTTAATGATGATTGGTTATAATTTTAGCATTTCTAGAAGAAACAATCTGGCCAAGAGTTTCGGAGGAAATGTGTCTCTTTGGCTCTGTGTGGAACATGATACCGCCTGGTATAAGGCACTTCCACCGGGAAAGGATTCTACATTTTGAGGCTGAATGAATTGCCAGTATGAAATAATTACTAGCGAAGAAGCTGGGATTACTATAAAATTAATTTTGGAATTGATTTTGAAACTAGCTTACCATTATAGGCAGGCAACTTAAACAGCTGTTGAAAATAACAGTTTTATTTTTATCATGCATTTTTTATTAAAATGTTCATACTTCGCAAACATAAATGTAGTTTCAAAATTTGCCTGATCAATATGTTGTATAAATATTTGATCAAATGCCTATGAAAAATTAACACTCTGAAATCTATGGCTTTTTTATACACCAATAATGAACTCATAGAAAGAGAAACTAAAAAAAAAAATTCCATTTTCCATTACAACAACAACAAAAAATTAAGATACCTAGGAATAAACTTAACCAAGGAGGTAAAGGACCTGTACTAAGAAAATTACAGGACATTGAAAAAAGAGATAGAGGAAGACATAAACAAATGGAGGAATAAACTGTGCTCATGAATTGGTAGAATCAACATCATTAAATTGTCCATACTACCCAAAGCAATCTAGAGATTCAATGCAATCCCCATTAAAATACCAGTGGCATATTTCAAAGATCTAGAACAAACTCTCCAAAAATTCATCTGGAATAAAAAAGACCCCGAATAATTGCAGCAATCATGAGAAAGAAGAACAAAGTTGGAGGGATCACAATACCAGATATCAAGCTATATTACAAAGCCACTATTCTCAAAACTGCTTGGTACTGGCACAAGAACAGACATATAGATCAATGGAATAGAATAGAGAACCCAGAAATCGACCCAAACCACTATGCCCAATTAATATTCGACAAAGGAGGCAAGAGCATACAATGGAGTCAAGACAGTCTCTTCAATAAATGGTGTTGGGAAAATTGGACAGATACATGCAAAAAAAATGAAACTAGACTAACTTACACCATACACAAAAATAAACTCAAAATGGATAAATAAACTCAAAATAAACTCAAAAAGGACTTAAATATAAGACAGAAAACTATAAAAATCTTAGAAGAATCCATAGACTGCAAAATATCAGACATATGTCATAGCAATATCTTTACTGATACAGCTCCTAGGACAATGGAAACTAAGGAGAAAATAAACAAATGGAACTACATCAAAATAAAAAGCTTCTGCATAGCAAAAGAAACCATCAACAAAACAAGAAAGCCCACTGAATGGGAAAACATATTTGCTAATGTTATGTCCTATAAGGGTTTAATCTCCAAAATTTATAGGGAACTCATATAACTTAACAAAAGGAAGATAAACAATCCAACCAAAAAATGGGCAAAGGACCTAAATAGACACTTTT